GACAGAGTTCATACCCCTGTTTAAATATTATTCGACCTGGATATGTAACACGAGGCCCCCACTTGAGCGGTCGCATTTGCACTCAACCATCGAGGCAATCGTATTGAATAAAAAATTAATATTACAATTATTTAAACACTAATCTGAAGGTAGCCTTAAATTGAAAAAAAACCGTTAGGTACATACACCTTCCGGTTACTTTAAATTATTTAAAAAAACACGCAAACGGTTATGTAACGAAAGGAAATATCATATACCATCATAATATTTCATGCCACCCTCCTACTTGTCTATGTTCCCCAATATATTTGATTGGAGTTTATTACCTTCATATAACTTCCCCGTACATACGCGTACAGCGAATAACTGGTCGGTCCATACAATCTAAATATACATACACCGGAGCACGGATTGGCCAGTTTTTTGTTTCCACCAATCATAATCTACGACATCTCCGCTGACGAAACCGCACGCGCAAATAGAAACGAAAAAATCATAATATAACTACATATAATGTTTAGCGCCAATCCGCACCAGTATGTTAAACTGCGTCGGCCCGCGAGCACACGTCGCGACATTGTGAGACTATTCTCACATAGTCACTGAACGAGATTAACGTATATTTGTTAATCTCAAGAAAATGGAGCACATCACACAATCTTTCACGGATTTGCTTCACAATATAGCCAAGGAACAGAAGTTTGTTGACTACAATCTAGACATCAAGGAAATATCGAGTGGAGGAGCTAATTATACATCCAAGTTGTTTGCGGTGAGCATTACTGAAGGTTCTAACGCACTGCGGCTGTTCTGCAAAGTCGCAGCCATCGGTGAGAAGATGCGAGCTCAGATGGCAAAAATATACGAAACAGAACATTACTTTTACACTAATCTCGGGAAAATTATCAGAAATATAGAAGAACAGTATGAAGTGCCAAATGAGCATAAAGTAAACATCAGCAAGTACTACGGAAGTGTCACAAAGCTAAACGAAGAAGTGATGGTGCTGGAGGACCTCACGGCAGCCGGGTACGAGGCCTACGACAGGTTCAAGTCGATAGACTGGCCGTACGCGCAGGCAGCGACCCGGGAAGTGGCCAAGTTGCACGCATCTTCCTTCGCTTACGCTGAACATGATCCAGAAGGATTTGATGCAGTCATGGAAAAATTGATGTTTGATTTCAAGATGGAAGACGGCGATATGAAAGTTTATATGGACAACATGGTGAAAAAGGCTATCTCGACACTACAAAATGAGAACAAAACAAAAGTACAGAACTATTTCGATAGTTTAGACGTGAAAGAATTTTCTGCATCATTCAAAAGGAGCCGGCGACTGACAGTGGGCCACGGGGACTTCCGCCCGAGCAACTTAATGCACAAGACTCTTGACGTGAGTTATTTAGTTGTTACTTAGGACGTGTGACTAACATGCTGTTTACACGCAGCTTCTACTATACTCCAGAGTCTTTGTCCATTAAAAGACAAAAACGTGTGCAACATTTTTTTATTTACTCGGTGATCATAAAAAAAGGAAGTCCTTCGTCTTTCACAGACCACTGAAATGCTAAATACAAATAACCCTTAAACATTATAACAACGACAACTAAGTGTAAATAGTTCGTTAAGCTAAATTACTCGTTATTTAGTTTGACCCTCAGTTCCGTCATCATTGTTGTGAGTACAAGGCAACCAAACCAGTTTAGTGCGATTATATTGTGGAGTTGATAAAATGACGTGATAATCGTGTCGGTTGAATGAGGCTGCGTAATAATAATATGCCTGCCGTAGTATGTGGATGTATGTATGTAAATGTATATTGTTACACAATGCGCACATCAAATAGTGAAGTCTAAATACAGATTGTAATATCAGTTCCTCTTATACATGTATGTTTATTCAAAGCAAACAGACGCGTTACGTCACCGGCGTTAAAATAAAGCATGAAATTATTTCCGTACTTAGTTTTGTTATCATTAGTCAAAAAATGTTCATTTTGTTGAAATAATTGATCTCCATGGCAAAATAAGTCATTTTTATATTGAACTGACCAACAGCTAACAATTGATGGTGGTGATAAATAGACGTCGTGTCGTTTTGGCGATATTTCAGTTAATCTTATATTTATTTTTGTGTCTTTTCAGGACGGCACGGTGGACATTAAGATCGTGGACCTCCAGACGCTGCAGGGCGGCAGTCCAGTCACCGACCTGATCTATTTCATCTTCACTGGTTCCGACGAAAAATTCCGCGCGCAGTACTTCGACAAGCTGCTGGATCACTACTATACAGAGCTCAGCGCCGCCATGAAAAGGCTGCAGCTGAATCCTGATGAGACTTTCTCTCGAGCAGACTTCGACTATGAAATGAAAGAGGTACGTCATAAAACCTTTAATTTTATTTTAAGGGCCGATTTTTTCAACGCCAGATTTAATTTTAACTGAGGAATAAACTTTGAATATATTTAGTAATGCTTTCGTTCTAAAAACTGTCAAATGTTAGTTTTATTCTACAGTTTAGAATTAAAAATCGGCCCTAAAGAGGAATGTAGAAAGCTGTGTGCTACGCCGCCGTAGCAAACATCGTAGCTGCTTTCACAAGCGTACGTAGCTCGTAGCGCCGCGCCGTAGCAGAATCAACGAATGAAATTTTAAGAACATGACTAAGAATGATGTTTTTCGTCATATTTTTTAAGATTGAACATCTTATAGGGTGCATTATTATAAGAATTCAGTACCTAAAAAAAATATTTATTACAGAAGCTGCCATTTGGTCTCACTCTGGCTGTGTTCACCCTGCCAGTCGTCACGGTAGAGATAGAGAATGCCCCCCAAGTGGACGAGTCTCTCGACATCTCCAAGTTCAACGTGGAGAAGACCAGCGACCTGTACGCGGAGAGGCTGAACGGAGTTGTCAACGACTACGTCAAGTGGGGGATTCTTAAATAAATCGTATACTTGGCCAAAATTGTATAGTCACATGCCGTAGGGACCAATTTTCAACAATTTTGTAATTACATTACCAAGTATACTTTACCAAGAGTTTCTAAGTAACATCGCGAATCCCTAGTCATAAGGTTCATTTTAAAATATGGGCCCCTTTGTGTGTGATGTCGGTATTATAAAATGAATTGACCAATTAATGTAATGCTTTAGTGAATTATAAAAATGTGATTGTATTGAATTAAGTAATATAATTATATTTTACATTTTCTGTTTAGTTTAGAATAATGTGTTATTGTTGAATTAAATGTTTTTTGTTATGTTAATTTCCAATGCAATGTAATATTAATGTATTTGACTCGGTGTAGGTATTATAAGATCTTCGACCAACATTCGTGCAGATTCAGTTGTGCACAAACTATGCTGTTGTAGTGTTGTCCTGTCGCTTTATTTTTATTGAAGCGCAACAGAATCTGCGCGAATTATATATGTATGTTTTTAATTTTAATGATTTTGCTGTACAGGGTCTTATAAATAAAATTTGTTTTATTATATTTTCTCTTTATTGACGCGTCTTACTTTACCTTCCAAGTTATGAATGTCGAAAGTAAGCCTTACCTCTAGTGTTAGGCTCCGAAGTATAACAAGACATCTCGTTTTTGTACATTTGTCAGCTACCCTATAGAAGTTGTACTCCTATACATTAAAAACTTGTCGCGGAGAACCTAACGGGTTACCGGGGCTCCGGCTCGTAGGGCAGCAGTAGGAACGGGGTGGTTTTTAGTCCGTTTTTTTTTTTTTTTTTTAAGGGGGGAAAATCATCGAATGACTGCTCCCGCCTGGGTGAGGCGGAAGGGAGTGTCAGACTCTTACTGACTAAAAACCACCCCGTTCCTTTTCCTGCACGTCGAGCCGGAGCCCCGGTTACCCGTTAGGTTCTCCGCGACCCCGAATCGGCATCGGCCCTATTGGGCCCCATCTGTGGTGGTCTGATGGCTCTTTGAGGCGCGCGCGGAACGCTACGCGCCGTACGCTCGGGTCTGTTTCTGGTCGGACGGGGAGCCACCCATGCTCGCCGTCCGCAGGCCCGCGCTTACGGTGGCCGGAGATCGTCCCGCGATCCCCGACGCCCGGTGTGTCCTTCGCGATGGCTGGGTTGCGAGGAGGCAGCGCTTCGCTGCCTCACGCGTCCCGCCTCCTCCTTAGCTAGCATGACTGCTTCGCAAAAGGAGGAGACGGCATCCCAGTCCCCCTCGCTTCGCATCATGGCCTGCACTAGGCCCGGACGCGAGAGGTCGCCATCGCCGATCACTTCCCTGAGGGCACGGCGGTGCTCAGCCCACGCAGGGCATTCCGCTACGGTGTGTTCCACCGTGTCCTCAGGGCGGTCCTCGCAGTGATGACACCCGGGCGTTTCCTCCCGCCCCATCAGACACAGGTACCTCCCGAAACTTCCATGTCCGGTGAGGACCTGTGTCAGGCGGTAGGTGAGGACGCCGTAGCGTCTCTCAAGCCACTCCTCAAAGAGGGGACTTACCGCTGCAATGGCAGCGAGCCCAGTTTTTAGTCCGTAAGAGTCTGACACTCCCTCCCACCTCACCCAGGCGGGAGAAGTCATTCGATGATTTTCCCCCTTAAAAAAATACCTTAGTAACAAAGTTATATCTAAAAATTTTTTTACTTTCGATAAAAAATTAACGCCCAAATTGATATTTAATATTCATAATCAACATGCTAAATTATAAGCGCTAGCAGTACAAATGTAGAAATAAATAGTAATAAAATCAACCTTTGACTCTAAGAATATTTGCTCACAAAGTCGCAAAAGTCGCAATAAACGCTAATCAGCTGACGAAGCAGCCGCGACAGCATGCGACACAAATGTAGATAACACAAATATATTAAATAGACAACATCACTCCACACGGACCAGTACGCTGAACTGTGTCAACCTGTGAACACACGCCTCAACAAATTATTATAGACTACGTAAACAGTTTAATGAGACGTTGAGTGAAGAATTTGTGAGATAAACAAAAATTCAACTTATTTTTCAAAATGGAAAATGTAAACCAATCATTCAAAGATTTGCTTCACAAAATAGCCAAGGAACAGAAGTTTGTCGACTACAATATAGACATCAAGGAAATATCGAGTGGAGGAGCTAACTATACATCCAAGTTGTTTGCAGTGAGCATTTCTGAAGGTTCTAACACACTGCGGCTGTTCTGCAAAGTCGCAGCCATCGGTGAGAAGATGCGAGCTCAAATGGACAAAATATACACAACAGAACACTTTTTCTACACAAAACTTGGAAAAAATTACCGAAACATTGAAAACCACTGTGAATTACCAGACGAACTTAAGTTAAATGTTAGCAAGTACTACGGAAGCATTACTGAACTGAACGAAGAAGCGATGGTGCTGGAGGACCTCGTAGCAGCCGGGTACGAGGCTTACGACCGGTTCAAGTCGATAGACTGGCCGTACGCGCAGGCAGCGACCCGGGAACTGGCCAAGTTGCACGCATGCGCCTGGGCATACGGTAAACAGGATCCCGAAGGGTTTGAGGAAATTCTGAAAAAACTGACGTTTGATGTCAATATGGATGAACCTGAAATGAAGGCTTATATGACAAACGTGATTGATAAATCAGTTAAAATAGTTCGAGACGAAAACAAAGAAATGTTCAAGAAGTATTGCGATAATTTCGACTTCGACGCATATACAGCGACTAATAAAAGGAGCCGACGGCTGGTGCTGAACCACGGAGACTTCAGGCCCAGTAACTTGATGCACAAGTACCTTGACGTAAGTTATTTGTTCATGTCTAAATTGCTGCTTACATTAAACAAAGCGACACACAAGCTCTCTCATTCACTTCAGGTTTCGATTGGTGCCATTAATATTACTTAATATTTTTAACCTCTATGCATGCTAGGCGCAGATAATATTATGACTTCGCTAATTCAACAATGTTTCTTTAATTGTTTGAGATACTGCCGTGTATTAGGAAAATCTTTTTGAACGACTTATTAATTAATTGACATTAAATTAATATAATCGATGTTTAAGATTAACAATAATCTGTTACAGTCTAGACTTTGTTTGACCTTATTTAATACATGAATTGGTGTTTGTTTACCTCATAAAGGAAATAATATTGTAAAACGGGGTGAATAGAATTCGGGAACAACAATCTGTGGATCACACAAAGAGTTGTTCCGTGCGGGAATCGAACCGCAACTCACAATTAAATCTCTCTTCTTTATAATATAAATACAGATAGATAAACTAAGTAATTTTGTTAGTTCGATTTAAATGATATTGTCAATCAAGTACTCAAACGGACAAACTTATTTTCCATAATCTCAGTAATTAAATACTTCGGTTATATTGTGGTGTTGTGTATCATCACTACATAGTATAAAACAAAGTCGCTATCCGCCGTCTGTCTGTCCCTATGTATGCTTAGATCTTTAAAACTACGCAACGGATCTTGATGCAGTTTTTTAATAGATAGAGTGTGTATAATGCAAGCATATTACACCCGTGTGAAGCCGGAGCGGGTCGCTAGTTCATTTATATTTAGTAAACTCAATTACAAAACGTCTAATGAATGTTTTTCATTCATCATGAATGTTTAGGGCAAACATACATTTTAAAATAATCAAAGTACTTCTATTTAAACCTTTCCGGCTGGTGGAAACAACTCCAGACAAATCATTCTTAGTTATTATAAGAACCAATTATTTATGATAGGTCTATGATGATAGGTTGGACGTTACTCTTGACAGGTTGTCGCAGTCAGGAACAAATTAATGTTTGCATTTTTAAGATCCTATTTTATTCAGTACATAGTCGTATCGTTTAGGTAACATGTAACATTAAATTTTATCTTTTTCTAGGATGGCTCCGTAGACATCAAGGTCGTGGACCTTCAGACGCTGCAGGGTGGCAGTCCAGTCAGCGACCTGATCTACTTCATCTTCTCAGGATCAGATGAGGAGTTCCGTGCGCAATATTTCGACAAACTGCTGGACCACTACTATACAGAGCTCAGTGCTGCCATGAGGAGGTTACAGCTCAACCCTGATGAGATCTTCTCCAGGGAAGACTTCGATTATGAGATTAACGAGGTACGCCAGTGCGAAAGTGCACTTAAATGCTGAAATTGTCAAACATCGTTTCCGTCCACAGCTGGACACAGACATCTCTAATAATACGATTATATCTACTTTACATACAATTCCCATTATTACCTGAAGTGACTTAACTATATTTGTGACACATCGTCAGGTGTTACAATTACAGTGAAACCCAAAAAGATAATTACCCACGTGATATCAAAGAGATCTGAATATTTAGATATTTCATACAAGATAATTATTTTTGAAGATACAAGTCATGCTGAGCTGTTATTTGTCATATAATCGTAAATACTTAATCATAAAATATAACGGTAGATTACTCGTTGATTACCGGCTATTAATAGATATTGAATGTCCTTGCGAGTATTCGAGGCTGATGAAACTTTAAAACTACATGGAAATTTTTTTGCTTCCTACTTGTGACAGAAATCATAACTGAAATGTTTCCAGCGTCAGTTTTTAGAAACATAACATACATACGTACGTTTTACGTGAAATGTATTGTGTTCACAAACTCACAAATGGGTATAGGCCTTATTAAGTGGTGTTTGAATTGCATAAGGCACGCAGCGTCAATGACTTATTTCATTAAATTTACATCTGTCCAGATATATTTGGCCTTGGTCTATATTTCAGAGTTTAGATCATAATACATATAACTAGTGTTCTATTTGCACAAATAAACCTTATTATTTAGTACTTGCGTACAGACAGCCAAACTATTTGGTATACAGATAAGAAAATAGTTAAACTTACTACTCTTTAGAATTAGTTTGATAGAATTGCATTACTGGAGACAAATCAATGGCTTTTTTGAGGGGGAAAATCATCCATTGGCTTCTCCCGCCTTGGGTTAGGCGAAAGGGCGTGTCAGACTTTTACTGACTAAAAACCACCCCGTCTCTACTCCTGCTCTTTGAGCCGAAGCCCCGGCAACCCTTCCGCGGCTCCGTATCGAGCATCAGCCCTGCTGGGCCCCATCTGTAGTGGACTGATAGGTCCTTGAGACGGACAATCAAGATATTGGTATATTTCGTCAGCTTAATTGAAATAAATAAATGAATCACAATTATTATCATAAATATATGAAAATATTGTTTGGTGTGTAGTTTTCTAATCTGTTTATCTATCAGTCTCTTCATTTAGGTTGTATGTAGATATTTATAATATCATCACGCTGATTTGATAGATAGCAGTCGTACCTACTTATTATAAACTAGAATTTGTAATGACTTGTGAATTTATTTTGGGATTATCCGTTTTTGATAATTAGGTAATTACATATTTGTCGTGTGTGACGTTATTCTGGTCAGTGTCACGTATTTAGTACATATAGGAATAAATTTTACCAAAGTTATACATGATATAGACCAAATCTGATATCTGGACAAACCAGTCTAGTCTCAACGAATTGTTCCTATATACAAACTAACATAACTTAGACCAAACTAAACAGTTTATCTTACACCAATCGCATATGATTGAAAATGCCGTCTCACTCACCTGGCTGATCTCTTTTTTCAGAAACTGCCATTCGGTCTGACTCTGGCCACGTTTCTCATACCACTCGTCACAATAGACATGGAGAATGCTCCCCAGGTGGACGAGTCTCTCGACATCTCCAAGTTCAACGTGGAGAAGACCAGCGACCTGTGCGCGGAGAGGCTGAACGGAGTTGTCAACGACTACGTCAAGTGGGGGATTCTTAAATAAATCGTACATTTGGCCAAAATTGTATTGTCACATGCCGTAGGGACCAATTTTCAACAATTTTGTAATTACATTACCAAGTATACTTTACAAGAGTTTCTAAGTAACATCGCGAATCCCTAGTCATAAGGTTCATTTTAAAATATGGGCCCCTTTGTGTGTGATGTCGGTATTATAAAATGAATTGACCAATTAATGTAATGCTTTAGTGAATTATAAAAATGTGATTGTATTGAATTAAGTAATATAATTATATTTTACATTTTCTGTTTAGTTTAGAATAATGTGTTATTGTTGAATTAAATGTTTTTTGTTATGTTAATTTCCAATGCAATGTAATATTAATGTATTTGACTCGGTGTAGGTATTATAGGATCTTCGACCAACATTCGTGCAGATTCTGTTGTGCACAAACTATGCTGTTGTAGTGTTGTCCTGTCGCTTTATTTTTATTGAAGCGCAACAGAATCTGCGCGAATTATATATGTATGTTTTTAATTTTAATGATTTTGCTGTACAGGGTCTTATAAATAAAATTTGTTTTATTATATTTTCTCTTTATTGACGCGTCTTACTTTACCTTCCAAGTTATGAATGTCGAAAGTAAGCCTTTCCTCTAGTGTTAGGCTCCGAAGTATAACAAGACATCTCGTTTTTGTACATTTGTCAGCTACCCTATAGAAGTTGTACTCCTAAACAATAAAAACATGCCGCACAGGACTTAACGGGGCCGGGGCTCCGGCTCGTAGGGCAGCAGTAGGAACGGGGTGGTTTTTAGTCAGTAAGAGTCTGAAACTCTCTCCCACCATAGACAACCACAGATAGGGCCCAACAGGTCCGATGCCGATTCGGAGTCGCGGAAAACCTAACGGGTAACCGGGGCTCTGGCTCGACGTGCAGGAGAAGGAACGGGGTGTTTTTTAGTCAGTAAGAGTTCCCTCATTCCCTCACATTCCCTCCCGCCTCACCCAGACGGGAGCAGACATTCGATGATTTTCCCCCCTTAAAAAAAATAGCCTATTCTGCTTGTTTAAAATATCATGTAGTATCTTTACTTCGGACTTCAATGACCAAACGAAACCAATTTTCCAAAGGTGTCGTTTCGAGTACTATACTGAATTCCGTGTTATAATATTTTACTTCTTGAACTCACTAAATTAATCATATCTTCTGATAGAGTGAACCGATTTCGATGAAACAAAAACTAAGTTATACCTCAAGTTGCGTAGAATTTTTATATATAAGCAATGTCTGCATTGAATTCGAAGATTTTACGTGATGCGCGCACAAACAAACAGACAATCAGACGACAATTTCAAAAATGATGGAAATGGGTTCTGTTAGTTATCTTTAACACGCTGGCTATTTTTTTTTGTCAATTTCTTCAATGTACAAAAATTACTTTTCTACAGATTTATTTATTTATTTAATAATTATTCATTTAATAATTTATGTACACACAAACAGCACAGAGGATAACACATATACCTATAAAATACGAGTACAAAGGTACAAAGATTTATTATAAGTATAGATAGATATAGATATAGATATAGATTAACGCCCAAATTGATATTTAATATTCATAATCAACATGCTAAACTATAAGCCGTAGCAGTACGTGATGAACGATGACGCCCTAGCAGAATGTAGAAATAAATAGTAATAAAATCAACCTTTGACTCTAAGAATATTTGCTCACAAAGTCGCAAAAGTCGCAATAAACGCTAATCAGCTGACGAAGCAGCCGCGACAGCATGCGACACAAATGTAGATAACACAAATAAATAAAATAAAATCAAATAAAAAAGCCATTTATTTCTTACAGTTAGTCTTACTTGCTGTTAGTGTTGTTAGTATAAATTAAAATCTTAAAGTTAATTTATTGTTAGTGTTGGTTAGTTTGCATCCTGTAAGAACCCCTATTGGGTAAAGGCCTCCTCCAAAGCAGTCCACTTTTTTCTATCCTGTGCTACTGTAGTCCACTGAGGGCCCGCTATTTTCTTAATATCGTCTTCCCAACGTGTCGTGGGACTTCCTATATTTCGCTTGCCTAGTGGGCCGTTCCAGGTTGTTATTTTTATGGTCCATCTCAGGTCTGTTAGTCGCGCTACATGTCCTGCCCATTTCCACGTAAGTTTTTGAGCATAAGTTAAAGCATTTGTTTTTTTTTTTTTTTTTTTTGTTGCTTTTGTTAGTTTCCTTATACTCGTGTTTCTTATTTTGTCTTTCTTCTTTACATTCAACATGCTGCGCTCCATTCCTCTTTGACAGGTATTAATTTGTTGTTGTATTTTTGTTGTGAATTTCCTGGTCTGGCAACCATATGTTAAGCAGGGTAGTAGACTGGAATTCATGACTTTTGTTTTAAAATTTGTAGGTAGATTGCTTTTGAATATCTCTTTCAGGTTCCAGTATTTGTTCCATGTATTTTGTACCCTTCTTTCTATTTCTAATTCATTATTTCTTTTATCGAAGCTGATCCTTTTTCCTAGATAGATATTAGATATAACTGTCTGTATATTCTAGTGGATTGTTTTTTATTTTTATTATTCTTTTGGTGGAGTTTGTCATTGCCATAGTTTTTGATAGGTTAATTTCTAAACCTACTTCAATGCTCGCCTGGTGTAGTGATTCTATCATTAGTTGTAGTTGGGAACTTGATTCGGACAAAAGTACTAAATCATCTGCAAAACTCAGGTTGCTCAAGAAAGCCCCTTGTATGCTGAGTCCTTTATTTTTCCAGTCTAACTTGTTAATGACGTGCTCTAGTATAGCAATAAATATTTTAGGTGATAAAGGATCGCCTTGTCTCACTTCTCTTTGTATAGGAAAATATGGGCCTATGGTTTCTAGCTTGACTCTACTTGTATTGTTACTATATATACTCTTGATGACATCTATATATCTGTCATGCACTCTTTGTTCCTTGAGACTTTCCCATATACTGGAATGCGATATGGTGTCAAAAGCTTTTTGATAATCAACAAAAGCAATGTATAATGGTTTTTGGTGTTCTCTGTATTTTTCTATTACTAACTCAGTGTGTGAATGTGATCCATCGTAGAAAACCCCTTCCTAAATCCCGCTTGTTCTATAGGTTGCTTTTGTTCCAAGATTAAGCTTATTCTCTGGTTGAGAATAGAGGAAAAGAGTTTGTACAGGCTAGGTAATAAACTTACATAATAACATAACATAACATCACGCCTTTTATCCCCGAAGGGGTAGGCAGAGGTGCACATTATACCACTGTACAATGTAACACCCACTTTTCACTATTTATGTTATGAGTCCCATGTAATAGGGGGTGAGCCTATTGCCATATACCGGGCACATTTCCAGACTCCGTGCTACTACTGAAATTTTTTAAAACCCAGTAATACTTTGCCCGACCCGGGAATCGAACCCGAGACCTCTTGACCAGCAGTCGCACTTGCGCTCACTCGGCCAACGAGGCAGGCAGGTAATAAACTTATTGGTCTATAGTTCTTGATATCTTTCGGGTCTCCTTGTTTGTAGATAAGTATTATGTCTGATTTTGACCATTGTTCTGGTGTTTCAATATTTTGTAGAATAAGGTTAAATAGTTTGGTTAGTGGTATGGCTAAAATTGTATGTGCTGCTTTAATTACTTCATTTGTTAGGTTGTCGGATCCTGGACTTTTTTCTACTTTTAATTTCTTTATCATTTGTATTACCTCTGTTACCTCTATGGACTCTACATTTGTCTGGCATATAGCTGGCTTGTTGTCCATATTGTTCGTGGTTTGGTTTATATCACTATATAGGTTTGTATATAATTCAGTTGCTGTAGTAATTATTTCGTTTCTATTATATATTATATCTTTGTCTGACTTTTTTAGTCCTTCTATCCATGATTTTTTTGTCCTGAGTTCTTTATAGGTCATTTTACAGCTTCCTCTTTGTTGTATGTATCTCTCTATTGTGTTTAGTCTATAGTTTTTGTATTCTCTCTTTATGTACCTGTTTGCCAACTAGTAGAGTGCGGATAGCTCATTTCTATTGCTTCTAGTTTTATTCTTGATCTTTTGTAGTTCTTTCCTTCTTTGTAGTAAATTTAAAGTACGAGTCGATAGTATTTTGTGTTGTTTTTGATTCTCATTTTTGGTTCGGATTTCTTTCACACTTTCTTTTATAGCTTCCACGATCTTATCGTAATAGCATTGCGCTGTGGTATCTTCCGTCAGTACTTCTACAAATGTAGATAACACAAATATATTAAATAGACAACATCACTCCACACGGACCAGTACGCTGAACTGTGTCAACCTGTGAACACACGCCTCAACAAATTATTATAGACTACGTAAACAATTTAATGAGACGTTGAGTGAAGAATTTGTGAGATAAACAAAAATTCAACTTATTTTTCAAAATGGAAAATGTAAACCAATCATTCAAAGATTTGCTTCACAAAATAGCCAAGGAACAGAAGTTTGTCGACTACAATCTAGACATCAAGGAAATATCGAGTGGAGGAGCTAACTATACATCCAAGTTGTTTGCAGTGAGCATTACTGAAGGTTCTAACACACTGCGGCTGTTCTGCAAAGTCGCAGCCATCGGTGAGAAGATGCGAGCTCAACTGGACAAAATATACACAACAGAACACTTTTTCTACACAAAACTTGGAAAAATTTACCGAAACATTGAAAACCAGTGTGAATTACCAGACGAACTTAAGTTAAATGTCAGCAAATACTACGGAAGCATTAATGAGCTGAACGAAGAAGCGATGGTGCTGGAGGACCTCGTAGCAGCCGGGTACGAGGCTTACGACCGGTTCAAGTCGATAGACTGGCCGTACGCGCAGGCAGCGACCCGGGAACTGGCCAAGTTGCACGCATGCGCCTGGGCATACGGTAAACAGGATCCCGAAAGGTTTGAGGAAATTCTGAAAAAACTGACGTTTGATTTTAGTATGGAAGAACCTGAAATGAAGGTTCATATGACAAACGTGATTGATAAAGCAGTTAAAATAG